AACTGAATGATGAACAGATGGAGGAAGAGAGAAATAATGAGCGCTATGTTACAATTTTCAAAACATTCAAAAACTTTTACGTAAATACCGCGCTGTGTAAGCGTGATACCATTAATAGATATCAAGCCAATATAATCTATGGGAAAATCCAACCTTAATTACCTTAATAATGATTAAAATTCGATAGTTATTCGAACAAATGCTGCTAAACTAAATAAAGGATTAGAATGCTGTAATCTAAAATGAAATTATTTCAATTTGTCGGAAAGATGGTCAGACATTTTGGTATTTAATCGACTCGCAAGGAAGAAGCTGTGATAGGGTGAAAAAAACTGGATTTCATAGTCAATCTCGTAATTCTTGACTGGAGATCAAATTTCGTGTACAATACCAAATATGTGATCACTTCACAGTTTCACATAAACTGTGTCCCACTCAGAAAAACAGTTTCCGCGTAATTTTCTTTCTCTATAGCCGCGATAGATGAAGAAGAAGAATTAATATCATTCTATCTATAACAGAGAGTAGCAGCACATGAGCAGCCCACTAGGTCAGAATCGCGGCTATCTAGTCAGGGTTCGCGTATTCAAATTTCACGTACAAGAATTGTGAGTGACCAATCGGTAAGATCATAACACTTACCGTTTAAATACACAATCATTGGGCTATGGCCACCACCTTCCTATCTCTGCTTCTTTATCTGTCTTTTTCTAACCGTCACCGTGTTGCACAAATATGTGACGTTGCCCTTAAAAATGCAAATATTCAATACAAGTATGTAAGAATCCAAGTAGGTAAAAGGATGTCCGTCTCCCTTCCTCCTAAAGAAAGTTTTTATAATTTTAAAGGCCACAGTATAAGCCATACAAGCAAAAGTGTCATTTTTTTGTTTTTTGTTTTTTGTAATAGTATGTGAGCCTATGAACCGATTTAGCTAAAGTTTATCAATAAATACTTGAGTGATACTATATTAAGTTTGATTTTCTAATCAAAATATTAATACACATATATAACACATATACATATACCGCATGTATATGCATATGTGGCGTCCAGTGGGGCTCTATCGCGTGATCTCTGTGAGAGGTTCACAAAGGCATTTTTGGAGATTACATGATTCCTGAAGATTCCTAATAAATTTGATTTTGTCGCGGAATGTATGACAGAATCCATAATTTTCTTGAAGTCAGATATCGTCCAAGTGGAGATAATCTAATTTTGGCCACAAACATCAGCTATCATATTTCTCTAGCGTTCCCCATTGACTGCAACTGTGAACCTGCTGAACCTTTAGTTCATATTACTTTCTTCATCTGTCTGCATTTTTGTCTACAGCACAGCAAAAGTTCCCCAAGTCTCAGAAACCTTTTACAAGGTAATTTCCAAATTTCAGTTTGAATGCCGAATATCCTCGGTGCGCGTAAAAATGAAGGGAATTTTTTTTCTTGCATTCTTCTGCCTGACATTTTTTTTAACGCTATTCATATAAAATCAATTATTTGGACGAAAAATAACTCAAACGGATAAAACAACACTAACACATAAAAGATCTTTGAAAAGTTTGCTAATATCTCCAGGACGAAAAGAAACAATTTGCAAGACTTTACGACGTAGTATATTCTTTGACGTATGACTATGGCTTACAATTTGCTCACCGATATAGACAAGTTTTCATTTGATATGAAAACCTATCTAAACGAATTTAAATTTCAATTTCTTGTTTCCAATTTCCATTCAGATGCAAGCTTGCATAAAAAAATTAACAAATTTATTGCAATTAATTCAATTTATATGTAGGTAAGAGATATCATTATGACTTCATTTGTTTCATTATTATTTGGATCGAAAATAATATTAAGTATTAAATAGGAGAAAAGAACTCTAAGAGATTAAGCGTCTTTTGTTCATTACTCACACATATTGTGATGCGAATCAAACAATTGTAAACTACATCCTATCCAATTCAATCCCTCCTGCTTGATATGTGGTAAAGTGTGTACCTGTCTAGGCATTTAGGTTTCGTAATAGTAAACAACGACTTTGTTGCTTTCTTAACCTTCATAACAGAGTTCATATGTGTTTTTTGTCGAAATAGCTTTGAATAAGAAAATCATTTACCTGCGTCCTCGTCCTCGTCCTCAAAATGATAGGGTTTTGGGATAACCAACAACGCATGAAACAAGAACAAACTTCAAAAGTAAGAACAGCTCATGTATGTGCTGAATACGGAAACCATATACAATGCAGCCATTGCGTTAAATGAATAAGTGTAACAGTAGCATGGCTTACTAGTGTACGTAATAGTCAAGATTAAACGAAGAGATTAGAAACATGAAATCTCCATAATGCAGTAAAATTGAATAAATAGCGAATACCATCTGAAGTGAAAGGTCACGGAAATCATGCATATCAGCTTTACTTACGTTAAGCCTTTAAATGGCACACAAACACTTTTCAAAATATGTCAGTTTTTTAAATCAAACTTTCGTTCTATTCTGAAGTTCTACTGCAATCTTTTGCTCGTCATGAAGACTACTTCGTTTGATTCGGTTTCAAACGATGGACTCATTTTTAAAATTTTCGTCTCAAAATTGTTCAACTGACACAAAGCTTCTTGCGAGGCAGGTACTTTAACGTCTACCTGGATTCGTCCAATTCCCACTCCGTGGTAATCGATGCAGATTGTCCACTAGGATCTAGTCTATGACCTGTGGATCTAGTCTATGACTGCCAAGTGGATGCATGTTTTCCATTTTTGTTGGCGACACTGCGATTCTTAGATTTGCCATTTACGCTCCCGACGTTATTGTCAATCTACAAGCAGTATTTATTCAAACGGAGACGTGCTTAAAAACGGCAAGATTCTACTTAGAGGTTAAAAAACTACCTCTTTCACTCGCCAACGTATTTCACTTTCCAGTGAACGTTGAGGATTGACGATAATAACATTCCTTGACAGTCAATAAAGTCAACTACTTAAGTAGAGCATTGGATACCAAGCCTACCTTTAACTGCCACATTAACAATAATATTCAGTTAACTCTACTACCGAAACTCACTTACCCATTATAGATTAATAGAAATGCAGGAAAAAAATGATTCCAAAAACTATATTTCATGCCTTCATGTTTTATGCTGCTCCGATTTGATCCTCTGTTGCTTATTGTTATATTAAAAAAGAAAAACTACTAATTGCACAAAAAAAAAAAAACCCTAAAGAGAATCTATAACCTACCCTGACAATTTTTTGTACTTAATCTGCACGCAGTTTTCAATTTCAAACTTTTTTGTGACACTATTTTAAAGTTAAGTGTCAATTTTAGGATAAAAGGTCGAAGCTCACAGTACTCCCATATCAAGGAGCTACAATAACTTATTCTTTTCTTTCTTATTTCCTTTTCCGCTTGTTTATTTTCCTTTTTTTTCTTTTTGCTTTGTAGCTCCCAAAATTTTCTTATACCTTTTCCTTAATCGTACTCTTACTTTAAATAAAATATTAATAATACATTATTAATTTCTAAGTTGTAAGCGGGATTACGTTACCCTTAAGCTCGTGAATTTTTTACATCACGTCGGACATAGCATCTAAAATAAAATTGAATTATTTTGTATTATTTATTCGCATTGCTTCTGATATCACAACTTGACGCGAGGATTTAAAACGTTTAAGCATTAAGCTCTGCCTTTTTGACAACCGCTCGTTGTCAAGTTACCAATTTTTATGGAATTCGTATTCGATCACACCCGACCACAAGTCGCTTCTTCGTCTTTGTAAATCTCTCCGTATATTGTAATGAGCTTATGAATGAATTCGAGGCAACTTATTATACGTTGACATACTCAGGCCAATAAGAGTACTTGATCCACTCGAGCGAAAACGTTTAGCCCGCACATGAGATTGATCATTGACTTTCTAATTTTTCATTCAATTACTAACCAGTATCTGTGCGTCTTATAAGCAGCACATAGCTGGATTAAACCGCGACAACCAACATATACCGCTATATGAGTTCGAATATTTAGGAACGAAAACTGCATTGTGCTCTACAGAGACACGTTCGAATCGAAAATATCAAACTTTGTATTGCAATATTTTAATGGTTGCCATTTAAAAATTAAAAGACCTTGGAAATATCGATATCGAAAGTATATGTGTTCCTGATTAGCGTAAGATTCCGCTTTTTCCACCTTGTTCGTTTGGTGTCGAAGGCAGGTGATAGGTACTCAAAATTCGCGCTAAAACGGACACACCGTAGCTTTCATATCTGCTCAACTTCAATCTCGTGTTTCCTTTAAGCGCGAAGTCGCCGCAATTTCTATCTTGGATTTTCGAGTTCATATCTCAAAGGGAATTAAATCACATTTCGTAATCCCTTTTTGAAAAGGAGCGTTCCATCCATAATGCAGCGTTAAGCAAATTCTTTTTCTGCGGTAAAAACCGAGTGGATGTGTTCAGAGATTCATTAACTTGCTCCCTCAATTTAAACTTTTGTGGTCAGGGGTAACAAGTGTGCACTCCACTTCCCGATTAAGTATCGAAACGCTTGGAAAATTCGTAATCGATCGATTGCCACTGCCATTTGACAGTTTTTCTTATACGGCATTGAAAACGGTCTCTTCTTTTTTTTTTTTTTTTTTTTTTTTAATTTAAGAATCTGTTTACATACGAAAAAGAAAATAGGAAAAGAACCGCCTCAGCTGTTTATGACATTTATGCTTTTTGCTTTATTTGTTCATTCTTGCTTAGTTTGATAGGTCTACTCCACCCAGCAACGTTTATTTAATTTGCTTTGCCCTTACATGTGATTTTGTTTCACTTCTCACGCTTTCCGATGATGGCCTGGCCAGTAATGGGAAAGAATTGTTTTTCATTCCTTAAGTACTTGCGTTGTTCTTCTTTTTTTTTTCTCACTTTTTATTTCAAGTAAAAATTTTCTCTTGTTCATTCTCGTTTGCTTGCTTTTCATTTCAATTTTTCTTATCTATTATTTCGTACTTACTTTGGGATGTGTTCTCCGGGGAAATGCTACTTTTGGATCAACCTGCAATGATTAACAATTAAAACAAAAAAAAAAATTATTTTTTATTTATTTTTTGTAAAAGCAATTTAATTGCAAAAGTCTTAAAAGGTGTAAAATTTTAATTAGGTTTAACAATACTCGTCCGTCCGCCCGTCCATCTGTCTAATATTGTCATTTATAAAAATGCACTAAATAAATGCCGATGGAGTTAAAACTTGGGACAAACATGCCTTTCCCTTTCAAGTGCTTAATTGAGATTTTCAAAAATACTTAACTGTCAAGCATTATCATGCTTACAAACACAACTGTAACCGTAGAACTATTCTAGACATTTGTTGTTCATCTTTTAAAATAAACACATCACAAGCGGCGACGGACGCTGATTAATATTTTTCTTGTGTGTATACATAAAAAGGACATGTATATATAAGAAAAATTTAGTGAAACTGGAAAATTAAAGCAATTTTCAAGGTCAAAACAAACGATTTCAAGTTATTTTATCATAATTTGTGAAGCGATCAAAACACCAATGTAAGTACGAAATGATTGGTGTATAAGTGTCAACATTTGCGCACGTAACGTAAGGATGGCCGATTGTTGAAGCGCGGTTAAAATGAGTCTTTCGGGCTAATGGAATTGAAGAGGACACGAAAAGGAAACCATGCTTATGACGGCATTATCGGAAGCCTTTTATAGGTTATTACGAAGTTTATTATGGCCGGAAAGGGTGAGAAATACAAAGACAGCAGACGACGACGCGAGGATAGCACAACATTCTGATCAGTACAAATTCTGCAGCCCTGTAAAGGAAATCACAAATTCAATTAGTGAGTTATCAGTACGGGTCATAGTATTGCCGTTGAAAATGCTATTCGAGACAAACTTGTGACGGGGCTCGGAAACGCTCCGACCCGGAAAAACATTTTTCTACAGTCGGTATCAACATCGTTCGAGACGAGCCACACATTTATTTAAAGACAAAATCAGTAGCTTGCACTCTAACCCGGAAGAACAGCAAAGCGAAAAGCAGCGTCAAGAACGACCGCAAAAAGGACATAGCGAGTAAGAAAGAAAGCAACAAACAGAACATCAACCCTGTCAAGTATATGGATGCACAAATCATAGGAATGAGTTTTGGACATTTTCGAATTATAGATGCAACCATTGTAGAGGACATCTTAAAGTCATATGTAAAAAACCAAAATATAGATTTTGTGGAAAATTCGGAAATTAATCTATTTTCAGTCGTATCTGTAGAGCAGTAATCCATTTCAAGTTAAAATGATTCTTAATAATAAAGAATTCCCAATGCGATTAGACATTGGCCCTATAGATAGTCTAGCTTCGCAAAAAATGTCATAACAGTTATTGCTTTAATTATAAGTTTAAGCCACGTGAAATGTCGCTGATATCTTGCGATGGTAGTAGAAATTTGCCATTGGCCGTTTGTGAAGTTACCAAGACTTGCAGATTTGTCGTCAAAATTGAACGCGATTGAAGTATCAGATAAAGATATGGTAAAGGTTGTACAGAAAGGTTTGTGGATAGTATTTTTGGGGTGGTTTAATAAAGGCTGTGTGTAAAGTAGAGCAGCGAAGCTGCGTTTGAAATGTGAACAGAAAATAGATAAATTAGTTGCTTTGAAAATTGGCGAACCGATGAGGTACAGCAAAGGGGGAAATTATTCAGAAAAATGGTCTCGTAAGCTTTGTTTTTCCGGCCAGTAGAATGCTTATAAAGGACAATACATAGTCGTCAAAGTTCTACACAGACTTAAGTCCGTTCCTGGTAAAGAAATTATTGAATGTGTTAAGGCGCTTATTGTGTGCACAATTTCTCAATACACCTCTGTCCTAAATTTTGCGTTCACCGGATCGCTGGTGACAGTGAGCTTGCGAGACTCATCGTTACATGGATGATTCGTTCGAAAAATGAAAAGGGATCAATTTTGCCATCATGAGTAAGTGTAAACTAACAAATAATTTTTTTTAATGTTAACAGTTGATTTAAAATAACTTTATCCGCCTGAGGGGCCGAAGGCGAGGGATCTCGACTAGCAACTCAATAGTCGTGGTTTCGCATCTCAAGTGCGGCGGAGTTTTTAATAAAAGTCGATAGCCTTAGATGCTAGTGCTTTCGCTGGCGAAATTAATAATAGTAATAATAATAATAAAATAATTTTAAAAAAATTTTTGGAAATACAATGGGAAATAATTGGAAAAATTTAATTTGAAAGTTGAAACGGGCTGCAAGGCATCAACGCTCAACAGCGCTCAACATTAAACAAAGAAGGGAAATTTGTGAAGTTTCTGTAAAATTTTTAAAATATTTTGAACACTTCCACTGTTTCTTTTATGCGTAACAATGGTACAATCGTGTTTAAGCGAATTCAAATTTTCATTATTTATTTATTTTTTTTGATTAAATTCACTTAAAAAAGTTTCATTACAATTCCTTTTGCATTTGGGCTTGTATCTAATATATATCTAAACAGCCGCTACCCCAGGTTTTCATTGTATGTCCGTCTAAAAGTGTAGCCATATGCTACCGAGAACCTAATAACGGTCAACGCAGAAACTTGGACTTGACACCACGAGCGTCGGGAGTCTCTCGGGAGAGCAGTATCACATTCTGGTCTATTGAATTTGTATCTTTCAGTGTATACGCGACACGCATAACGTCATGAGTTTCTATTAAACAACTCATTATACTAAACAACTCATAACTGTCGTGTTTACCTCTCTACAAACACTTTGAGGCCTTTATAATATGTATACGTAATTTTTGTGACATAATGAAGAAGCTTAGAGAAGTCGTGACGGTTTCTTCAACGATGTGCCTTGCGTATATTTAGAATCATTTTGATAATATCCCCCTGTTTGTTGCTAATATCAAAGGGGAAATTGGAGATCAGGATTTGCGGGCAGCTTGTCTCTGAGAATGTGTGAGGTCTACCTAATTTCATATAGATTTCCTTGCCTGAATTATATCTCTCTACACCTGGCTTTTTAAGACACACAAATGTATAGCATTAAGACTGGTACCCGACATCACGGCAGTTTGTTTTTTTATATTTGCGTCTCGTGACTTATTATGGCGTAAGTTAGTTAAATTAAAGTTTCTCATGCATTTTAGTAGCGAATTGCAGATTGATATTTAGACTTGCAATATGCAAGCGAGGCAAATATAAACACTATAATGAGATACGATATCACTTCGTTGAAGGGGGTAGGCCGCTGTCATTTTTTTCACAAATTCATTTTGATTTTACCTACAATAGGCTTTTGAAATCCTAAAATAAGTGAGAAAAAATTCATTACACGCAAAAAAACCGCAGCTGAGAAGTTGCAGCTTGATGAAAGAAAAGCATGTTAGTATAACTTCGTCGAGGCAACTTCAAGTAGATGTAAGACTGTGCGCTATTCCGAAGCAATCATTGCTCTTAAAAAAAAAAATTTGGCTATCGAACACCAAATTTTATTGAAATATTGCAAGAATGATGGTAGATTGAACACTTGAATATGGGCGTACGGACGGACAAACGGATAAACAAGCTAAGTTTGATTTAAAATGTGATTGTGAATAGATCGGTATACTAAACGGTGGATGCGCTTTAAGTCCATCTGGATATTGCGTACATTGGCACAAATTCAATTCACCCTTTCATGAAATGCAAATGTTGCATGTTATATGGAGTGTTGACAAATGATCAATGAATTGTATTACTGGCGTTAGTAGTACGTCCTATTTGTACGACGTTAATTTGTAAACGCATAGAAGAGACCGAGATAAACAAAAACTATCTAATTATGCCTCTTCAAATTCTTCCTTTATTTATTTGTGAGTTTTTTTTTTTTTTATGCCCATTCTGGTAAATATTCCTTTCAAACAATTACTTTTGCAATCTTTTCTGTCTATTAACTTTTTATTTGCAATCAAAAATTTTATATGGACATCTTTTTATACAATTTGAAAATAATTTGAAATTTTAACAATTCATACATGTGGATAACTAACAAGCGTCCACACGTACCAATCGTAAATGTAAACATAAAGTGAAACCCCTCAACAACAGAAAACTGAATACAATACTTGTATATCTTTTCGCTCAAATATTTAAACATATCTTACTCAGAGTTCAGATTCAGTTCACAAATGAAACGAAAACGAATTTAAAAAAACAAAAAGAAATCTTAATTAGCTTTTCGTAGATTGTTAGATATTTAGCATCAAGACATGGGAAGTTCCTTAATCAGTTTTACACCTAGATTGTACACATGCAAAACTCACTTTATATAAAAAATTTATTTTTCTTATATGTCGCTGGAAAATTTGCGATCGATATCTTTCAATTTCGAAGCAAATCTAATTTGTATCCTGGGCATCTATTCGTAATCAATGTGCTCGTTTTACTCGAAATATGATTTATCGAGGTGTCCGTACGACGGATCGTAATAATTTGAGACTTTTTCATAGCTAATGACTAAATAAATGATCAACTTTCAATCTCGTTAATATATATTTTCGAAAACTTGTAACCCAGTTAGTTGGTCATTAGCATCACATTCATGTTAAGTCGAAAAATGGTATCAATCGACAAAATCCAATTCAAAGTGCGTAAAAATAAATGAGAAATAAATTAGAAATAAATTAGAAATAAGTTAGAATTACAATGGTGTCGTTAATTGTGAATGGTACTAACGTTTGCCGTGCGGCCTAATTTTTGCGCTAAACACGCAAGTGGTTCTGGCAAACATTTTAGTAGATATTATAGACGAAAATATGATAAAATGATCAGTGGTTTCAGAGGTTGTCTTAGCCTCTGCTAATCGATAAAAGAAAATCTATGACATTTTGAATCTTTTCATCTTTGTCTTTGCGACTGTGACGGTACGCAAGAACTACTTGTTAAATTGACGCGTTTTCGCAAGAATAAGTATAAAACATCACATTACCCTCAAAATATCACAAAATGGGCGTGTTTCACAAAACAAATTATATATTTTCCGCATTATATCATT